GCGCCAGGGCAGCAAGGGGACAAGCCAAGGTCCATGCCATCAGTCCTGTCCTCAAGCCATCACCACTGGCTTGTTTGAAAGAGGTGGACAGGCTGCTCTGCCCTGGGGAGAGTGGAAAGCCACTGGTGCAGGAGCTGGGACAGAAATGATCCTGGTGAGCACTCAGAGCTACAGCCACCCTTGGTCACACCACAGATGAGCCCTGGAGCAGCACAGCCCACTGCTGTGCCCACAGACACAGACAGGACCAGAAACCCTTATTTCTTTTATTGTGTATTTTGCAATATGCACCCTTGGCAGCAAACAGAGTGCTCCAGAGATCCCAGTTCCACCCAACCCTTTAACACTTGAAGACAGCTTTTTTGAAGTCCCTCAGCCTAAATTTCTTTTGCACCATCCTGCTGAGCGAACACAGGGCTATAACCACATGAATTTACAGCTGTAGGACACCATTGTTAACAGGAAAAAAAAAACCTTTAAGCCTTTTGCTTCAAAGCCACAAACTCTTGGTCTCCATCTTTTAAATAGTGCTTGCATTAACTTAGCAATGCTACAGCTCACATGCTCTCTGCAGCCATTCATGGCATATCTGTCAAACTTAATAACAGGGAGCTGATGGACTCAAACAACACTGCAATTTATACTCCAACTTTGATCAATAATATTTTCACTGGTTAAACAGAATTCTTTAGAAAATCTGCAAAAATGCAGCAGTTAATGGCATACAGCTACCTGGTTAATGGATAGAAAATCAATAACTGACTAACCAGGAGCTGAGATGGAGTAATGTCAGCAGAGTCACAAAGAACATTAAAGACAAAAATTGCAATAAAGTCAATTTGCAATTCCTGAATGCATTTGATTCACAGATTCAAACAATGAGGCTATTAATATGTTAATTACTGCTTGCTATAAAATGCCAAGTATGACTAAATTCAAGTGTTTGAGAGAAAACATACCTCTTAGGACAATTAAAAAAGAGTGACTGAAGTATGTATGTTGCAATAGGTATGTATGTAACTTAAGTGTATGCTGTTGCTGTTAAAAAGTGACAATAATAGTGGCATTAACAAAAATATAAAAATAGGAAGAGTAATAATAAAAAGACTTGTTTCAAGACTTAGAAGCACAGATTTTCCAATCTCAAATAAGGAAGTCTGCTGCATGGCAAAAGAAAGACATTGAATATTTTTCCAGAGCTATGGCAGCAGTGAGAGTTAAGTTAGACTTGAGCAATGTCTAACTACTCATTTATAAACTCAGCTACTATGTAAGTGTATTAGAGGTGGGTGATATACTGATACCATGTTGATGTCACATGTCAAAGCTGCTGGTGATACCAAACTATTAAAAACCAAAAAAGTCTACCAGAAAGCCACAGATGCTAATGAAGGCAGACTCTAAAAGTGTTAGTCAGTCCTGTGCTTTCTTTTATGGTGTCTCCTTCAGCCCAACTTCAGCACTGCTGTTCGTCCCTGCACCCCTGTTTGGGGCTGCCTGTCGCCTTCCAAGGAGGTTCCTGAGAGGCATCAGGCATGGGTGGGGGCACACTAGAGACCTGTCTCCCACGCCACATTGCTCCCTAATCTCACTGGGGCTGGAGTCTCCTCCAGGCTCCTGCCCCAAAGATACACAATGAGATCAGCCATGGGGTACAGCTTGGTGAGCACAAAAAGTTGTCTTGTCCTTCCTCAGGTCCTCTAAGATCCCCAAATCTTCATCCAAGAGCTTAAATAGTACCATAATAGTTCTTAATAATGTGATAGAGCTTTTTCTGGTAACAGCAGTATGAGAGATTCACATGTTACCAAGTATTTTTAATATTGCTTATACTCAACAGCAGCTTCAGGAGTCTGAGTTCAAGCTTTATTGCATAAGAGGTCAGAGTATCCCCTCTAAAAGCCTGCTACTGAGTAACCTTGGTAACTTTCTTTGGCAAGGATGTTTAGCCATATTAAAATCTCTAAATAGACAAGTGGCAATGGCAATGAATGTCACTGATAGCGTCTTCTTCACCTAAATTTTACTGAAATATCCTGGAAATTCAAAACTGTTTCCCTGCTTAATGAACTTGCCTCCATAAAGTTGAACCCTAAGGGTTATTTTTAGGTGTTATTCATGAGTACTGAACAACTAGCAATGCATTAAAGACAAACCAAAAATACCAACTCAAAACTAAACAAAGCAAACCACAATTAAAAGCCCGTAAAACGTGTCTAGTTACAAAACAAAGAATTAAAAGAGTGGTATAAAAGGAGATGCTAAAATTGTTAGTTTGCAATCAGGACTATTCCAAAATAGTTTCTTGGAGCTTTCTTCCACCATATGCTTTGCAGAGAAACACGTCACCAAAGTCACAATGTCAAAAAAGAAGGTTTAAAGGCAAGGTGCACAACCATTTCTCCTAAGGTGTCACAGTTCTATCAAAGTCAAGCTCAGGAGTTAACCGTTTTTAACCTCACAACAATGCAGCTAGATCTTTACTCTTTTAAAACATTAACCATATCCTTTTCACCTAACAATCATGACAATCTTGCTGTATATGTTTTTTGGATGGCTAACGAAAAGAGAAACTGCAGCTGCAAAGAGAAGGAGACAAAATCAGAGACCTCTTCACAAAAACCTCCTCAGTAACACAGGGTCAGACAAATGTTTGCAATGCATTGGTCACTGCCTTTTTTTTACTGGTATTTGGAGAAAACACACCCTGATTCATAAAGTTCCTGCTGAGTTTATTTCTATTTCTGAGAATTCTTATTAACAGCAGGTCACTACCAGAGCAGCATAATGAAAATGAGGCAATGTTGATAATATAGGCAAGAATGACCAAGAAAGGTTAACTCTTGAAAATGCAGTATTTCAAATGGAAACACTATTTCCATTTGAAGCTATTCATTCAAAGAGGAGATGGATAATAAACCAAAAGAACCTGACCCTACCATTCTGCCTCATCACTTCTCTTACTGCTAGAAGCTTGTCCATAGTTAGTAAAGCAGAATTGGAAAACTATTTAGTTACACCCAGCCTGAAATTAGAAAACATTGACTGAAGATACTTTTTTGAAACACCTCAGTGAAAAGCTGTAAATGTCAGTTTAAATTTCTTTTAATGGTCATTTAAATTTTCTGCAAAACCACATCAGCAGCAATGAGTTCTTTAAAAACAATACACAAAAAATGCGAATCTCTTAAGCACACTTATTTATACTAATATACACAAATGCACATGTGTTTGTATAGGCAAAGATTTATGTTAGAAAGATTCCCAGAACTTCCTTTGAATGCTTGTCCCATAATCATGACCCCCTTTCGGGAATTTCCTAGTATGAGAAATGGCCATGGTCATTGGATAAATTGCTTGCTCCAACTTTGTCAGTTTCTAACAAGAAGTACCATTCTACTAAATACCATTATTTTATTTTAGTTTATATTTTATCTTTGATTCCTGTATTGGAATCTAGTCTAACAGCTAGCAACATCTACATGGAAGCAAGCTAACAGCTACTTCTGACAGAATATGATGGTCATTTCAACATAAAATTTCCTTAGGGAAAAACAGACTTTTCTACAAAAGGATATAATCAAATTAAATATTTGCTTGATTTCATTGTCTTTCCAAAACAAATAGAATACATTATTCTTAAGGAACAGAAATGCTCCATGCAAGCATGTAGAGATTTTTTTTTTGGCTGCTGTAGCCAAAATATAAATCATTTTCCACTGTGGTGTCAGGAAGTGTATTGCACTAAATTAATCACTAGCTACTTTTAAAAAGGGACAAAAAATCCACTGCAAAATGAAACAAATCTCTCTGTGTCTGTTTTCCATTTGCATTGTCATCACTTACCTTTAGAGGACGATGGAAGTGAGATGGGAATGTTGCTGAAATGTATTCAACAGACCTTCTGTGTGTGTGTTAGCATCTCTAGTGCTCTCTGTTGTGCCTCCAGCCATTGGAAAAGATAAAGTATTATAACCTGCACACAATATAATCTTCACTATTTGCCAGGCTGCTAGCACAGGGATACACTATAGCAAACTAAATGCAGAAGCACATAGACTACAAGCCAAGCTGTGTGTCTTCTAGCATTTCCCAGTCCCAGACATTCTGCTGGGCTAGATAAAAGTCTTTCTGTCTCATTATAAAAGAAGAGGAAAGGCAATTCATAAGGGAAATGGAGTCATTTTAGAAAGCTTTTCCTAATAAGCCCAACAGTTCAACAGATGTGCATAAGTGGGGAAAGCTGGGAGCGCAGAGATCAGGCAGCTCCATCCGCCACCATACAAATGTGACTTGGCTTTACTTTTATCTTTTCATGTCAGACAATCAGAAGAAAAGCCAATTTTATTTACTGAGTGAGGGGCAAATAAACTCATGCCAATTAAAGAACAGAAATGATGGCTCTGTGGTTTAGACTGGAAGCATTTAAAAAATAAAAACCTTGAATAATTCACTCAGAGAAGGCTTCTAGATCCTCGTCTGTCTTCCTTTGCTCCCAGGGCAGGATGGGCACGCACTGAACTTTCTGTTAACTCTCTCCTTGCAAATTCCCAACTCACAAACTACACCATCCAACAGGCACTACTAATATTTCATATCCCTGCTTTAATGAAGTCATTTAAAAAATGCTTCTGGGAAGACACACTTCTCTGGACCACAAGCAATAGCAATTAATGTCAGCCTCAACTTCACAGCTGACTTTGAAATGACTTGAAGTCTCTTCCTCTTCTCTGAGTCTCCAAAAGTACTTTTTCTCTAGGTGATCACAAGCCTGCCTGCCCTTCTCACTACTGACTGCTCAGGTCTTTATTAGCTCAGGGTCATCTTCTCTTGATTCCTGACTCAGAAAAGCTCATCATAATATAACTCTAGGCCTGTATATTAATTCACAGCAAAAGCAGCTCAAATTATGTGCTCAAATGCTACTGAAAGGGGGCCAGCTGCGGTTTTGCTCCTCGCACAGTAACTTAACATCTTCTTCCACAGCAAGCCACGCTTACCGGTAAAATGTGGTATAATCCACCGTTGAATGACAGCTCTGGAACTCCCACGCTTTGAGTTTCTGGCATTCCCGATGGGCTCGGAGTTTCACCCTAACCGTCCCATGACAGAGCTCGGGCAGAGGTTTTCTCTGCGGGCGGCTGCAGAACTCATTGGACTCCACACGCCAGGACTCGGCAAAGTCATCCACATCAAACTTAAAGTTCCCATCGCCCCCGATCAGGTCATCTCGCTTGTGCCCATTGTAGTTGCCACACAGACCACAGAGTTTGCCCTTCAGATGAGGCGCAGCCATGACTTCCACAAAGCTGTCTCCATCCCATGAGATTTCCAAGCCTAATGAAGAGATGAGACAAAAAACATGCACACACACACACACACACAAAAGAAAATAAGAAGAAATTGAGGACAAAAAACACTGCCTTGTGTTTGTGAAACAGTGTTCATGGGAACCTAAACAAAGCCATTGGCTTCATTCTGATAATGTTGTTAGGTTTCTATATACCTCCCAGTAAGTGCCTCTGGCAACTGTAGTGTTTCTTAAATCACATTCAATTACAATACTCTCATGCCTGCCTCTGTTTATTTTTGTTCCTCCTTGCTAATGAGTGGGGTTATCCTAAAAAAATGTGGAGCCAAGGCAGAACTCCTCTCAACGTGGAAAGAGGGCTCTTGCAAAATTCTGCAAATGGAATTTGCTAGGACAAATTTCTACCTGAATTCGCAGGAGACACAGAATTTCAGCCATTGTCACCCACTGCACAGGACACGGACATACAAAAGTGTCCATGTCCCATGAGACTCCACCAGTGATCAGCTTATGGAAAACACCCTTTTCTTGCCTGCAAAGCTGACGCTGATTGCTCATTTGAGTGAATACAGAATCACAGAATCATAGAATGATTAGGGCTGGAATATAACTGTTCCAATACAAGTACCTTATTTTGTGTGGGTGAAGAGAGTTAAAAAGTGGACCACAGTGATATGTCAGAGGATAAAACTGTAGTAAGAAGCATTCTGAACTCAATTCAAACTGTTTCTTCAAAAGGTGTCTTTTTTGAAGCCGTCTTCCTCAGTCAGCAACACTAAGGAATGATGGTAAATCTCTAACCTTCACCTGGTGGGTGAGATGCAAGCGCTCTGCTAGTCTGTTTTACAGTAGGCTTTTGCACTTCTAGTACCTCAAAAATTGGCTTCTGCAGGTGAAACACATTTTATCTGTCTGTACTCACCTAAAAGCCAGGTATCTAGTTCAAGTCAGCTGTCTGAGCACTCTCTTTGATGGAGAGAAACAGGCAGCTCAGGGTGTCTAATACAAAGGGAATAAACTAACTTCTAAATGCTTCTCTGTTCCCAGCTATAATTGAGAGAGCCCAGACATCAGGTGGAAGCTAAACTTCTAGTATTTACCTGGGTGACTGTCAATTCAAAGGAGTAAATACGTATCTCATAAGGGAAAGCAATTTTAGTATCATATGGAACAAAAACACCGCCAAGAATCACTGCTGCTTAACTTCTACCCAAACCAGACTTTCTTTTAATTATTTCCAATGTCTGATGAATGCTACTTCACATCTCTGCAGTAACGCTGCATCTGAAGATAACAAATCATTTTGCTGTTAATTTATTCCCTTAAGTACCTGTGCACAGTGATTAGTTAAGGATAAACACAAGAATCTGCTTTTAAAGAGGATAAAACAGATTTTACCCTCTTCTCCCTCCCTGACCAAGAATACCAAACAGCATCGCTCTGTGGTGCAGGACCAGGGCTTTGCTCCAGCTTTCTACATTTGCTGTGTGGGCTGGCTTAGCACCACCTTTTTCTCTTGTAAATCAGTGCTTGTCACTATGTGATCCAGATCCTGTCCTATCCTCATGTAAGTAATTATCATACCAGTAACTCAGTTCAAAGCTGGAATCCTTCCTTTAGCAACACATCCCATTGCCTCCTATGACAATTCCTATCCACACTGCAGAGTAACAGGATGAGGCTCAAATGGCAATTACGGCTATAGAAGGGGTTCTTGGCCATTGGTTCATCCTGTCTTGGTGCTTGTATGGTTTACACCATGCCACCAAGGGTTTGGGGAAAAACATACCCAGCAAGGATGTGCAGATAATTATGCACCAACTATCACTATAGTCTATTGCATCTTATCACTATAGGTTAGCAACCGTAGGATAAATATGTCCTGAGCTGACTATTACTGAAAGCAGCTTCAATTTGTCTAATAAACCAAGCTTTGATAGACTCATTTAGGTTGAAAGAGACCTTTAAGATCATCAAGTCCAACCGTTAGAGCCACTGTGTCCTCTTCCAAAGGCACTTTGCACCCAGACAACTGAGAAATTGTGCAAGACTACAGTTGTTAACAAGGCCAGCACAGTGGCAAGGAGGAAAGCTGCCTTTTAAGCTGCTTCATACATTATCATTGCTGGACAAATTCAAACTCCAGCTGCCTTTGCTTCTGACAACACTGAACAAAACAAAACACAGCTTGATTTGCAGACACCAGATTAATACTGTTGTGCTGGCATTTATAAAAAGCTTCCATTAACTTATAAACTAAGATTTCTTCAGACTTGAGAATCATATGAACTTTCACAAAGCTTGAAGCATCAATATCCAAATTCTCAGTTCTCTTCAGAAAATAACTCCAGTTTTTAATGCAGTGTTCAACTTCTTCCCCAACTGAGCTCCCTCAGAAGCTGCTGACTTTAAGACCAGCTAATGATTATATCTTAAATTTCCTTTTACAACTTCTCTTTTTCCTCAAGCCAAGACTTAACTTTCAGTGACACCCATCACCTTCATTATAAAAGGTTAACTATAAAATTATCCTGAAGATCCATGTGCACTCTGTGAGAGTTGTTAATCTACGTGTTAGATGTTGCTCTCTGAGCAATCAGTATGCCGATAAGAATAAAAGAAATTAATTACTTTTCATCTCAGCATACAAAAAATACACATTTTTAGATTAGAGAATCCTGCTTTGATTATGGAATTTAAGAGATTCATAGTTGAACTATGACAAAAGGATGCCCTTTCCTCTAGCTGGGTATTGTATATTCTACTGTAATTGCTTAGATCGCAGGACAATTTCTAGCTTTGATCAACAGCCTGAAGGTTTCTGTCCCTTTTGGGGTAATGAGGAAGGGTATTTACTCCTACAAGCATGATAATTTTGACGGACCCTGATGGCACTGTGCAGAGTGTGCCTTTTTGTTTGGTCACAAGCAGAAAGCTCAGTTGGCTTCTGTAAACCAGCAAGAGCTGTGACAGACAGGACTATGCTACAGAGCAATGTTTGAAATGGTCTCGTTGGTAGTAAGAAATTGTTTGGAAGAGTTTATTCGTGCTTATAAATCCTTTCCTCCCCCCCACCCCAAAATGGATGAATTTCCCATTCACTTGGACAAGAATGCAAGAGATGTGAAGCCAAAAGATGCAGCATCTGTCCCATCTGGGGATATGCAGAAAAGGGATATTCTCTGATTTACATTTTAAGGTTTTCCAATTTTCCCCTTTCTTTGACGGATGCTTAACCAACTTGTTACTTGATTTCTTAACTTGGCACACTATGTGCTCTACTGCATTTAAAAAAAAATCCTTCTGGATTTATGCACATCGCACACTGAGTTCCCCATGCTGGGAACTCCCATCAATTGTTCTGTCTGATTTTTCATGGTAAAGGCATCCTCAAGAACTGGCAGACCACTCGTCCCTAAGGATTTAGTGCCAAAGCAGTACAGAAAACCTCAGCAAAGAAGCTTTGGGAAAAAGATCAACACAGAAACAACAAAAAGTGCTCCTGCACTAGAGAGACAGATAAGTGACACCAGCCCTCTGACCTCTGCTCTCTCATTTTTTTAGCACACAGATTTTACACAAGACACACCACCACCCAAGCATACCCATGACAAAGTACCTGCAAGTGCAGGGTGCCAGAAACACTGCTGTATGGCATCCAGGGCTACAGCTGGTGAGGAATTCAGCAACAAAACAGGTTTTCACTGGAAAATGCCAATTCAACAGAACTGAAATGCTTCAGGGAGACACATCAGATTCAATGAACTTCCAACACAGCACAGGCAAGGCTCCAAGCTAGTTTCCTGCCAGCTCGCCTGGTGGGCTGCCTGGAAACCTGGACTCTGAGGGTATGCAACTCCAGGACACCCCTGCATGCAGATCACTCTGTAGCCAGGGACCACAAGGCTTCCTGAAACTCTGGGCTCCCCTGTTTTATCCAGGGCTCAGCTCCCAGCTCTCCCAAAAGGGAAACCAAAAGCTGTGGGAATGCTGGCTGAGCTGTAAGCATCAGACCCTGCACTTCCCAGCCTAATTTTACTTTGAATTTTGCTTGTACTGCAATGGTTTTGTTTATTTTTCATTACTTCTGCTCCCCTCATCCTTTTTTTCACCCTACCATGGGAAAGCATATCTATTGTTTTAAAATCTGTATTTCGTTCTGAAACAGAAAATCCTCCATTTTTTTCCCCCTCCAGCACTCATAATTTCCTGTGGAACAAAAAGTTTGTCCTTAAACCAGTTCTACGCAGCATATTCCTCCTCTCTGCTGCTTGTCCTCTCCCAGCAGAATGGAGCCATGCTGTTCTACTGCTTTCCAGGCCTTACATGCTAAGGAAAAGAGGAATTGGCCCATCGTGCTGTATTCAGCAAGAGAAACCTGATCCTGCTTTGCCAAGGGGAGGAATTATTTAGGCTATAATCTGCATTGATTACACACTGTTTGGTGCGTTGTCATATGCCATGTTTGCACTCCCTCTGCCAACACATGGACAAGGTGGTGTACAGTCATTTATTAGGCTTGCACCAGAGACAAATGGAATAGCAGCAGGATTAGCTGTCATTCATCTTCAGTGGAAAACCTTGCCTTGGCCTGCGGTTGGCTAATGAATTCCACATAGCCAGAATTCATAGCGTTCAGCTGGCTGCAAAGAGAAACCCTCAAGATGCTTTTAATTAGAAGTTGTGAATAATGGTCAACTTGTGTGCATTTTACAGACAGCCACAAAAATCTGCATTGCCACTTTGAGGAATGAGCCCAGAGCTGGGATCCACATTATGTAGACTTATATTTCCAGGGGCTATATAAACAGGTGTCTAAATTCTCAGCTCAACAGTGGGTGCTTAGTGTCCCGCCTTGCAAAAAAAGCGATGCTAGATAATGAGTATGACTATGTGTCACGCCTGTGACCATATCACTCCATAAGAAAGATTGGTTTCACTGCTTTCACATGGCATTTAATTGAATTAACAGTAAATGGTATTCTCACTGAAACAGTACTTCACTGTGTGCGTGAAATCTCTCAGGACTACGGTAGTACCTAACACATGCTAATGAGAACATTTTAAACTTCCCCTCAGGATTCATCTATGCAAGGATACTATAGTTTCAGAATAGTTTTATCAAAACAAATGTAAGTTCTTTGGTTCAGCTTTTTGACAGTTAATGCATTTTCTAGGACTCAAAAGACCTGAAAGTCTGCATCTCCCTCCCCTGTTTCCATAAATAAGGTACCAGATTCTCTGAAACTTCTGATTTCCCTTTGCTTCTGGTGCTTTGGACTCTATTCCTTGCAGACAAACTCTTACTTGAGCACAAAGCAAGCCCAACACGATGGCACTGAACAGCAAATTAAGCTAGGGTTTTCCAACAAGGGCCTCCATTTTGCTGGGTAGCCACAGTGAAATATTCCCATAATTTGACAACTTAAAATCATTCTAGCCATTAGTAACTAATGATTTTATATAATTGCTGACTTAGACTGTAAGCTATGTTGCTGCAACTGGATAAAACCATGAATGATATGTGTAAGAACTGATCTCCTCTCTGCTCTCACCTTTAAGTATCAATCAATGACCCTGTGTATTGGGTTTGCATGGCAAGGTTTTGGTAGCAGAGGGGGCTATAGGGCTGGCTTCTGTAAGAAGCTGCTAGAAGCTTTCTCTATGTATGATAGAGCTCAGGCCAGCCAGCTCCAAGACAGACTCACCTCTGGCCAAAGCTGAGCCCATCAGCGATGGTGTTAGCATCTCAGAGATAACATATCTTATCCCTAGTCATTGCAGGGGGGTCGAACTAGATGACTTGAAGGTCCCATCCAACCCAAACACTATGTAAGAAGGTGAACGATCTCTCCCTGTCCTTATCTCAAGCCACAAGCCTTTTGTTATATTTTCTCTCCCATGTCCATTTGAGAAGGGGAGTGATAGACTGGCTTTGGTATCATGCTTTTTTTACTGACTGCTGTTCACGTTGCACTTGAGAAGTTCTTCAGGCAAAACACACACACACACTTGCCCTACCTGCTTTGGTTGTCACTTTCAACAAATAACCATCCAGATCGATCTGAAACTGTGGCGTCTCGCAAGGTAGGGAGATGCGGGTCCCGTTCCACTTCACTGTGAGGTGCTGCTGGAGGCTGATAGTGCTTCTGCCCAACACAAGGTCCACTGACTTTGTCCAGGAGAAAGAACGGGTCCGCCGGGCATCGTTTTTTACCAGCACCTGAAAGGGCGAGGCAGAGGAGGAGCAGTCTTTCGTCAAAACGTACTGACATGTTCCCTGAAAGTTAAATGTCCGTCCATCAAAAGTGTTGTAGTGAGGGTCTCCAAATACAGTGCAAACGCCAGGCTCTGCAGGTGAGTGAGAAACAAAAGCGCCGTATCAGGATCAATCCAAGTCTGAGAAAAGCAGTTGATAAGAACTTAGAGGATGCTGCTCTCACCTAATCTATCTGTCCTACAGGGCACATGGGGCTGATGCCCACTAAGAATATATATGTTTGAAAAAGAGAGGCTTCATGGCTTTAGTAGATGTCTTTCCCAAAGTGGGTGGGAACGAAAGGCCAACTAATTCTTGGGGCACCATAGGAAGGCTAACCTGTAGCTAGGAGCCAAGGACACATCTTCCAACCTATACATTTGCCCGTTGAACATCATGTATCACCTGAACAGTTTAGGTTATTACAAAGCCTGTGAAATATTTTACTGTATTTCATTTCTGGAAAATACAAGCCATACTCATGATATCAGACCAGGCACAGCCCTGGTTTGCAGAGACCATACGTCTCTGGAGATGCGTGATGGGAGCCTTCCCACCTAACCTTCAGCTTTCCAGACATGAAATGTCTAGTCTAAGTGATTCCCTCTCACTGAGAGAGGAAAAGACATGTCTAAAAAGTCTTTCATTCACCAGCTTTAGACATCTCTTTTAATACATGGGGAATTACTCTCTGGAGGAGCCTTTCTCTTTGCAGCCAGCTCTGGAAGCACAAACAAGTATCCAAGACTATAGTAATTCCTCTCAGACAGTTAAATTCCCCTGGGATGAGCTCTCACCCTTAAACTGTATTGTGGGAGCAAAGCCCAGTCCACTAATAGAAGCAGAATTCAAAATATCACATGTGTATTTTTGAGGCTAATTCTAATGTCCCAGTAAGGCAGGGATGATCCCGTGAAATTAAAAGCCATCAGACAACTTCACCAGGACCTGGTACTGCCCATATTTTTTATAGGCAGACTGATAAAAAATGTACATTTATAAACTGTATTGCTCATTTATGTATTTTCCCCACATTATCTGTAGAAACAGCAACTTTATTCTGCTATCATAGGTGTTGTTTATACACGACTGACTTGTAGTAGTTATTGTCACCAGGCTACCAACTAAAAGTCCGTATTACGTGACTAACATGATGCAATGCCTATTTAGGGGCTGGTATGTCTACCAATCATTTGCATCAAGCAAAGCAGATTTCTTATTGATGTTTTGCATCCATATGTTGGAGAAGCCACAGCTTAAAAGCAGAACATTTCCACACTCATGCCAACAATGCCGAGTTACCCTGCAGTCACCCAACGATTGAACTGCCTCACAATCAAAGAGAGCAGCAAATTTATTTGCATTGCATCCTTCTGGCATAACAATAGGTCCTAACCACATCTCCTTGCTGCTGTTCCTGGAAGAAGGAGTCTCAAAAGGCAGAGAAATGCACACTGCTATTGCCAGCTGGATACCCATGGGCTGCGACTGCTTTTGAAAGATGATGCCTGCTTTAGGGGGAGGACTTTGTGCAGTAACAAAACTGGACTCACTAATGTGAACAGCATCTATCAAAAAAAAATTACAATTCGTTCACTGAAAAAAAATAAAAATCCCATTAATAGCAGACTCAAACCTACAGAAAAGGAGACATGGATGATACAAAGAGGAGGCAGGGAATTCCTTCAGTGGAGTGCAATGCAGCTGTGACTATGCAATACACATTCCTCATCATGGTTTTTCAGCCTAGGCAGAATGCTGTGCTAAAGAAGTTGTGATGCTTCAGGCACATTTTTCTAGCTGTAGTTAAAGAGCATCCAAGGACACCTACATGGAGACACAGAAAATGGGGCTGAAGGGGACCCCTGGAGAAATTACCTTTCCCTTCTCCAGCTGCAATGCAGAATCACCTGTACCTGTTCATTCCTGGCACACGTTTATCCAACCTGCTCTTTAAGAGCAGTAGTAACAGCAACTCCACAGCCTCCTCCAGAAACCAGTTGAAGTGCTCGACTGCCCTTACTGCAAGTTAGGTCTTCCTGAAGTCTCACCTCAGTGTCCCTCACTGCCATCACTGTCCCTCAGCACCATCACAGAGCTGATGCCTGGGAAATTTGCACTTCACCCCTAACTTGCCACATGCATGCTTCTTTAGCTAAGCCAGTAACTATTCTCAGCATCATTATTATGCTTCTCCACAAACCAGGGACCAAAAGTTTCAATTTCTCACTGACATAATGTTGACAACTCCATTAGAAGTCAAAATGAACCACATCTCACCAAGACCTCTGGAAATCAGGCCCAATGGACTTTAAGCAGAGCCTGAAAACCAAGGCACTTAGATACAAGTGTGCTTTTAAACCATGAGTAAATGAGTCTCATTTTCCTCATTGATACCAATGAGAAAAAAAAGAACTGTTTCCAAAGTCCATAAAAAGATTAATTGATCTTTTTTACCTATGGGAAAAGAATCCATAGATTTTATATGGAGAACATCTGACTTCACAGTTACTAAATCATACTCACATGTTTCTGATTTCCGTATATCAAATAATTATCTGTACAATGAATATGAAGATACATTTTATTACCTGCTCAGATTTTATTTCATTTTTTCAGGCTTTATTTTTTCTTTAGACATGACAACTTATCATCAAAAAAACCCAGCCCTAAGATCACTGAAGATTTCACAGGAGAGAACTGGTTTTTGTCTGCATTTCTACAGGCCAAGAACATGTTACACACGTTATTAACTAACTTATCAGGAGAGGGAGGCTGCTTCTTCACCTAAGCAAGGGGCTAAAAGACAAGGCATGAGAGGAGCAAACATAATTTAGAGATGTGCAAGTAAAACTGATAGTACCAATGGGATCCAAAGGAAATATTTGTTTTTAATTTCTAATGTGTTATGCAGAGTAATGTCGGTTTATGTTATGTTACATCGTGTCACGTCATATGTCAACTTGATGCAGTGCAGTTAAAATAAAAAAGAATGTGTTTTGGACCAGAGAGCTGAATGCCTGATCCAAATTTCGCTGTTTTCTTTAATAACCAAGGAAATGGAGGAGGGAAAATCTACCTAAAACCAGCCTGAATAATTGATTCTCTGATATCACTGTGTAAAACATTCTTGAAAGGTTTGCTAAAATTGTGAATTTAAAATGAAAACAAAAAATCCACACTCTGCAAGAGTGTGTGTGATAACTCAGGCACTGCCAGGACGAAGAATTGGTTGGCCTAGAAATAAACCTTAAATACCAGCTGTAACAAGACAAGCAACATGAAAGGAGTTCCTGCCATTTTTAGGTTTTGGATTGCTGTTTATTTCCTTTTGGGAGAGTTTCAATCACATCATGTTTTATGGTTTGCTTATTATTTTTTCTTTCTTTTTTTTCCCCTCCTGAAACAAACCAGTCTTTCTGCTTGGCTGGTTCTGGAATCTATTGTAAGCACCCATTCTCTAGTTAGGAGCATGTGTGACTTGCTCCTCTGTTGGGACATAATGGATGGAGAGATATTGCTTCATCACCAAAGGTACGTTCCCCAAAACTGGAGTATGAATTTTAGCACCTTGTGCTAACAAGGCACAGGGTCATGAGTGAAGATCCTTCCCTTTTTTCCCTACAGGAAATTGTTCCCAGCTTACTGTGGATACTCCTTGTATCATCTGTCTAGGGCAGAGTTAGAAAAGGGCAATTACATATGATACTTCCCCTTAAGACTCTGCAGCCTCTACCTATGTTTAGCTTAGGGACTTCCTGAGCTAGACATGGCTTCTCTTTATTTAGTAACCTTTGATAGACTTCCTTTCTGTGAACTTATTCAGTCTCCCCTTGAACCCAAAACTGTTTTTAGCAGCCATAACATCCTTGGGCAAAATGCATGAAGAACCATTGCCTCTTTCTTGTTTTGAACCTGGCATTCATGCTCTTTTATGACTTCATTTGCCCATCTACACATGCACATGAAGGCAAATATACCCCTTCCCGCTTTGCCCCTGAATAACAGAGATTTTTCCAAAGGAGGGCCTCAGAGCTATGTTCAGAAGGCTGTGATTTTCAAAGCACCTTAGGCACTCAGCTCCGATTAAACATTATTGGGAGCTGGATGCAAACGTCTCTAAACCTGTTTTGGAAATCCTACATTTAGGCTCCCAAATCACTATTCCAAACTCCTGGCTTTCATAAACACTTCTGGGAGCTCAGCAGTTTTCACTTTTGTTTTTTAAGCAACTAAATATGGACTTCACACTTTTACATTTGACAATCGCAAACTACATCTGTGATTCATGCAGTTGCGCTCAGCTCCCACCCTAAGGCTTTGCAGCTTACTTACAAACTAATAATAATAGTATTTAGGTGCTAAACTGAATACTGTAGAACTATTGGCATGCTTTCCTTGCATTACAAATCATGCACCCAATTCAAATGAAATAGTAACTTTCATTAGAAAATGTAACAGGGAAGGTAACTGTGGGCAAAGCAGACCAGCTTGGAAAGCACATTTATCTGTACAAAAAAAAGAAAGCTGAAAAAAAACCAACAGCAAGGAAAAGAACATTTTAGCATTTCCCAAAAATCTGTGTGAAATCACGACCTGTTTTGGCCAACAGGAAGGGATAAAAACCTGAAAGACAACTTATTTCTAATATATAGGATGCTCAGTAAAAGTAAGAACCACTTATTGAAAGACGTGACTGCCAGAAAGTACCTTTCTGCCTTTTACCCAACGCCGCTCCTGCCCCCCCCCCGATGGTATTTAGCCTTTCTAGAAAGAGGAGATATATATACTGCATGGTGCAGGCCAGACAGACAGTCAGCACACACATCCTGACCAGCCGGAGAGCATAAGCTTATTGGCTGGGCAATTAGCACACTTGTAGCTCCAGAGCAGCCACAGGATATATTGTCTCTAGCTGGGTTTATTATTTGTTGGGATATAAAGGAAATGGGACACAAATCCATAGGAAACCAGGTTCTGTTAGCTCTGGTGCTCATGGAATGGCTTGTTTTATTTTTTCAGGAGATCAGAGCAGTCAATTGAAGTCCAAGATGTCCAGATGTCTGGTCACACTCTTCTGGGCTTGTAGGTAGTTAAGAGTGGCCAAGAAAAATATGCTTTAAATTATAACTAAAACTGGTTTGGACACTTTCTAAGTAAGGAGAGGGAGGAAAAAATACAAGTTTACCAGTTAAGGGTGTTCTGGTTGCACATCTATAACTCAAAAAGATCCCCAGCTCTTTGAAAATAAAATGAAACTTTGAATGCAATTAGCCCATGTGCTGAATTAAGCCCTAAATCAAGCAGAACACATTATTAACTTTTGAAAACTAGCTACAGAACACGCATAATAGAATTTCATTAGCTTTTCTGTAAAAAATGCATAGCCAGAGAGTACTTTCCTCATAACTGCTGCATAGTGCAGCTTGATATAATACACATTACAAGGTGTGGTGTCAAAAACTCCACAGGAGTCTTTATGGTCTATTTCATAAATAAAATACCTATTCCAATTTGTCAAAATACATATTTATACAGTACACCATCACAGCTGAAACGGCTAAAAAGGTAAATCATGAACAGCATTCCAGGATGAATAAACAATTGCAGTCTTTTTGCTGATGGATATCTCCAGGGCAAGGAAGTAACACAAGAAAAAGAACTAGGACAGACCTATGTTGTCCTTTAGTCGCACTCCCTGCTCTCACAGGTACCTACAATGCATAACCCCACCTTACTGTTGGTTTTGTTGGGATTTTCTTTGCTTTGAAGAATATTTATTACTATAAAAACACATTAAAAAGATGCAGGACCAGGTGAAAGGACCAAACTTTTACTCCTAAGGCTGGATCCAAGTGAGTTTGGTTTAGCTCCATTGGTCATTTCGTCAAGTAAAAGAGCTGCAGAATTTGTGACAAATGACATTTTCTGCCTCAAAAGAGGCCTTTACTACAAATTCAATGTACTGCTAGACTTAGATGACTGCCGTCCACTTGGAGAACTTCATCCATAAAGCCTCACAACGTCTTAGGTAAGACAGTGTTAAGATTATTGATCATGAGTAGAATATATCTATATGGTTGCAGAAGGAAGCTTTCGTACTGCATGCTGTAATTCCAGCAAGATCTATCAGTTCTTCTTTGTCAAGAACAAAGATTTAACTTCCCCTGCAAATTCCCATCTTTGTCTGGGGTTGAGAGCAGTCTGTTCATGTTATTTGAACTCAGGTTTAGTGTTTTCTTTTTTTAATATGAAAATGACCTCGGTCTAACATAGGATTACTAATTTATGGAATTGACGTCAGTGGTGATTTCTCTAAATCAAGCCCAAAAGAGTACATTTCATTACATTTTTACAGCAGCATAAACTAAACTGTTGAATTTTCCACTGGTATGACCACTGTGTTTAATTAGTGATAACTGTACGCCAGCCATGGAGCTTAAAGAGCAACATGCCAAAACTAACCATAGTTAACTTGGGCAACAGTAGACAAAAGAGACTCTCCAGCTCTTTAGGAGACAAGGTACTTTTTCTCTGCAACAACCTGCTTTGAAAATAATCCTTTGATTTTTTAGGGTTCTTTTTTTCAGTTTAAAGTGTATGCTTTAACAACGCGACTGTTTTTTACCCACTTCACAGAAATTGGCTGCATTTAAACTGCACTCAAAGCTCTCCTGTGTACAGTATGTTCTTGTACCTCCCTATGTTGTTTTTACTTTGGAAAATTAATATCTGGACCGCCAGAAATGCTTGGCGTGTTAATATGTGGAGAGAGGATCAACATGAATGGGTGAGTGAGGGAAAGGGCTGTGCATATACATCTTATCTCAACAGAAACCAGCTGAATTAGCAAAGTTTCTAATTATTATCTGAGATGGTGATCATCACTGAAATCCTTATGCCTTCTGCCTGTCTTCTGATGAGATTTACAGCAGTTCCAGCACAAAGGTGGAATTATTTCCCTGCAAATGGCAACTGTTAAAACATGGATGTTAAAATAGTTAGTGGTAGCCACCACCGCTGTATGACAGTGGGTATTTAAGCTCTTTGATTACATTATCTGATAAAAGCTGGGAATGGCTTTTTAATCACAGTAGCTTAGAATCAGCTCAGCATCAACTTGCCTCCAAATACTAAATAGGTCCCTAGTGAGATACCTCTCCAAAAAGAGGACCTCTCTGTTTCATGTGCAACAGAGAAGCGTGCTACCGTGGGACAGTGCAATCAGCCTCCCAGCCTCATGTCTAGCCAGCTAGTTATCCTGAAGGCTTCTGGGAGACCTAACAGTCTGCTAGTACTTAGAAGGGTACCTTTACTGGCAAGACGAAGCCAAGCTCTTTACAGATCTTCATGGCAGGGGGACAAGCAACAGCAGTCTGCCCTTAATTTCACATGTCTTATAGCCATGACCATTCCCTTATATTATCAAGGGAAGAAGTCACTGTCTTCCTTTTAACCCCTTACAGTAGAGGGTCTTCAGTGTTGTGAGGGAATGGCTGGCCCCATTATTTTCCTCCCACTCTCACGTTACAAAAGAACATGAGAAAGGTTAAATAAGACTGAAACATAAGAACAGAGAGAGGCAAGACAGAGATCAATAAATTCATGACATTAATGACATGTCATGTTCGAGCAGAGGTCTATATGAATTTCTTCTCCCCTGAAACTGAGCCAACATGAAATCAGCTGCTGGTCAGTTGAATCCTCTTTCATTTCTCCCTCTGCTTAGTATTATTTCAAGTGTTTCTGAGGTTGCCACTTGCACTGAGTTTTGTTTTGATACTGAAGACTTGCAAGCTAAGTTTATTTTATCACAAGTTACACATTTCAACATAATTCAGCTGTAGAGTGGAAAAACAGGTATTTAACATATGGAATTCATGCAATTCAAGAGCATCCAGAGTTGAGTTAATCAGCAAATCCAATCTGATTTTAGCCAAAAGAATAGGAAATACTCTCCTTAAAAACCTGTTCCTTCTTTCAGAAGCCTTCCTATAAATCATAAACCCCCATTTTAGCAGTATGTCCCTATTTGGAAAAGTACTTAAACATGTCCTGAAGGAAATACATAATTGTATTCTGTTAACTTCAGTGAAGACACGTCTCCCTGTTGACTTAAATAGGACAAGCTTAAAAATAAGTGTTTGCCTAAGTGCTTTGCTGACTAGGAGAGAACACAAGTCATATCATATGGTGATCATCCTGAAGTGAAAAGGGATAAAAAGGTCATGGTTGAGGCTAAACATCATACAAACACAAGGTTAGCTTTCTATTGTACTTTCTACCGCTGCCCCAGATGTCTCAGATTTCTGCACACCTTTCTTTCACTCTCACAAATCATCTGCAAAGGTGTTGGATTATACATACACATAGCTGGGCTGTTATATACAAGTATAAAAGGCACCCAGTCCTAAAAGTTACAACTCTATTAATTTGCTTATTTTATTACCTACAAATTTGACAGGCCAACTATATCCTTAAAAAAGCAGCACCTCAGATTTGACCAAAAGGGTGTCATTTGGAAAAAAATACAATAAAATACCCAGGCATTTTAGCTTAAATTTACAGATTTATAGGAGGCAAAATCTGTCGCCAGCAATAATCACCTGCCCTTTAGCCACCTCTAAAACGAAGGCAGAAAAGCAAACATACTTCTACTGTATTTATCTTCTCTGAAAGAATAAAAAAGAATTCAAAGAATGCGAAGAAAGAACTTACTTTCAGTGCAAATGGGACAGCATCCTTTCCTGTTCAGGATTTTACCCTAATTGGGAGAAAGACAGGCTGATTTAATGAAAGAGGTTTTGGAGCAATGACTGTGTCATGTTGTAAGGCTGGATAAGCCTTTGAAAATAGTTCAAGTTGTGTTTGAACTCAATGCCCTGGTTACAGATTCAAGTATCAGGTGCTAAAAACAGACAGAACTATTCAAAGAGCTTCCTGGCAGTCTTATAAGAAACGAAATACTAAAAGGGTTCTCTGTTACCACTTTTCTCTTTAGAGCGAGTGTGAGAGAATTTTGGACTCATGCATTCACAGATAATCTAAAGCAGACTAGTCATTGGGTTAATAAGATCACTACCTTTTTCCCCCACATCCCAGAGTATATGTATTTCTTATGCACACCCTTTTAGTAGCCACACAGAAGCAATCTGCTCCACACACATTCCCACATTCCCCCCACATCATTCATTTCTCCATGAAAGGAAAAGGAAAAGGAAAAGGAAAAGGAAAAGGAAAAGGAAAAGGAAAAGGAAAAGGAAAAGGAAAAGGAAAAGGAAAGGGGCACTGGTAGAGATCTAATTTGGTCAGATTTCTTTCACGGCTTAATCTTGTGGTACCTCCCACCAAATCATATTACCAGCCATGGACCAATCTCCCCAGTGAAGTAAAGGGGCACACATCCATATAAAAGCCAACAATTTGGTCTAGTCATAGTAATATGGAAAAAAAAAGGTTCAGTCTTTATTTACCACTCTGCCAGGTCAATTTTATTTATGATTGAGTCTTATACAAGGCTGGTTAGAAGCAGCCTCTGCATACATACATTCACCCTCCTTTTGAGTCTTCATTAAATGAAAAGATGTTCTATCTGATTTTATTGAAATTCCCTAAAGCTAACCATCAAGCTAGAGGACAAGCCTGGAAAATTTCAGGCTGAATGATGTGTTTTTCCAAGCAAAAACTGGCATAGGTTATAGCAGAACTTACAGTGATATTGGAGCTCACCCTCGTTCCCATACAGGGAAGGCAGAGGCATATGGAGCTGTGCCGCTCCCCAGCACCGAGCCTTTGCTCCAGCAGTATTTGACTACAGAGTAAATCTCCTCTGTGGGACCACTCCTCCTGCTCCCCACCAAGCACGTGAACAAGGAATGGCCAACAAGAGCAAGCAAACAGAGCTGTGCTATTCTGCCCACTCACCAGTGCAGAAAAGCTTGTGAAAACAGGTAAGAAGTAAGTGGCAGTAAGAAGTTAAGACCTTACAAGTAAGGTCTATGCAGAAAGCAGGGAGGGGGGCACAGGCAGCAGGCCCTATTGCTATCTGCCTTGCTTTCTGACTACAGGACTGCTAAACTTTGACAGTGTGCATGGGAAAAAATGAACTCCAAGTATCTGCTGCAGACCAGAGCAGAACATGCTTTGTCCTGCTCACGCCTGAAGTACCCATATGGCATGAATGAGAGCTTGGTGATGAGCACACCTGGGCTTATCATCTGCAGGGCACAGAAGTTCAGTGTAAGCTTGCCTTTGAATGTGCAACTGCATGTGAACAGACTTGAGGTACGTCTGGACTTGAGAAAAAGGCTGGATCAGAGTTTCTCTGGCAGTGTGGGCAATGCCTTGATGTTTGTGTGACCACCATAGCAAAGAGAACAGCTGAGGACCAGGCTGCAACCGGGAGAAGCATCTTAAAGCACCTGCTAGGACAAAACCCGTTAAAGGAGGAACAGGAAGTTTGGCAACACGTATTTGTACGAAGGGAAGACATGCAGCTGAATGCCACACACTGCACTGCCTCACCTCTCTGTTCCAATAAAGGAGTTGAAATCATCAGCCGAGCTAGAAGTGGCAAGAATTCAAGTGAAATTGGAATCTCCAAGGCAGCCTGCTGAGGCTGGTTACTTGAGCCACCATGTTGGCCCGAGATCCTGTTTTTGTCTTGTAGAATAAGGAAACCCATTATTGCTAACATGTGCTGCAAGAGTTCGTTAGCATTGAGGGTTCCCTTAGGAGTGGGCTAAGTGATGTGATCCCATTTTTCCCTATGAATATTTATAAGCAGACCACATTTAAGTCTGTCTATTTTCTGGGATGTTTCTTTTTTTTTTTTTTTATGAGGTTTTCTATTTTATGTCTGAGGTTTTTATTTTCTATTTTTTTAAGGCAAGACTAATTGCAGGGGGAAGGGGGCTGTTTGGTTGTGCAATAGCAACAGCTGTTGTTTTTTTGTGCCTCATTTGGCACTCGAGTAAAAACAGCAACTTTTTGTTTGTAATAATAACAGATGTGTCTAACATTAAATGCAGTCTGTGCTAGAGATGGGAGAACGTGTTCTGAATAAATTTTCAACTCACTTGGAGTTCACGGGTTCAAAATTCACCCACAGAATCAAACTCTGCAAATGTCTTCACATGCCATGGATTTAATTCTATTAACTTTTGCACAGCCTTGGAGCACAGAAAAGGCTGGATGCTGTAAAACTCACCAGGCTCTCCTCTAGCAGTACAAAAATAGACAATCTTCACAACCACCATTACCACAGGCTTACAGAGGTAGTGGGGAATGCAAAGGTGTAAGGAGAGGAGGTAAGGTGGAAAATGATTAGGATGGGTAATGGGAAAGGAGTTGGCACAAGGCAAGAAAGAGGCTAGAGCTGGGCTAGGGTAAGTGAATAGCAAATTACGTAAGAAAAGGTCTAAAGGGTCTCTGAAACAGTCTTAACAAGTGTTGAGATTACTCCCTTCCTATAAAGTATTTAAGCATGTGTTTAAGCTTAAGCCCATACGGAGAGCCTACTAACTTAGCAGGACTGGATACATGCTTAATAGCTTCCCCTGGATGGAAGCCAGTGCGTACCGCACCTTGCAGGCTGACACTCCAGGTAACAGAGAGGGAGTATCTATGGAGTGATGGTCAGAAAGTAAGAAACAGAAACCACAAGCCACAAGGCTCACTAGAAACCCAAGGACTTCTAGTGTTTTACTATAAATATGACAGGAAGGATTGAATTTGTCAGATGTATTACCTCCACTGCAGATGACAAGCTGAGGAAGACCCTTCTTGTAATTACTGATACAGGATTAAATGCTCCAGAAAAGAATAAAAGAAACATAAAAATGTGCCTAAACCTATGAGTAAAATGAAAGAAATGGCAGGAAGAGTCTTCAAAAATACGTCAGCCTACCACAAACACATTGAATAATACAAATGGTTTCAAGGTACTGGAAATTTCAGCAGAATTACCACTTTGAAACCCATCCTTTAGAGAAGTAATTGGCCAAAATCTACAATGATAAACAATATTTCATCACAAAAACCCCTGCACAAAACCATGCAAGAAGTATTAAGAAGCATGGTAAAGCTTTTAAGTCAAGGAATAATACTATAGGTTCCTTGTGAATCTCCAATCCTTTCACACTCAGTTGTGTGTATCATAACACAGTTTTAATGAGATAACTTTATGTAGCCTGACACTCTAAGGGACACTAAACAGCCTTTTATTCCACAGCAGTCTTCAATAGTCAGCAGAGACTGCTTACTGCCAGAAATGTGAAGAGAGGGAAGAAATGGAGTTCACACCCCTGAAGTTTGCAGAGACAGCAGCATAACTCTGTGCGTGATATCCAGACTTCCAATATTACTAATATATCTTTATCTTGAATAATGTGGTGTGTTTAATTAATGTTTCTACATTTGTGACAGAGTATCTCATCAAAGAGAGTGGAGGAGAGATGACAAGTAAAAGATTTAAATGCATTAGCATACATTATTTGCTTTAAAATTACTTGGAATAGGAAAATAAATCTCACTCTAGAATTTACATTCTTTCTCCTACTTATCCTTCCAATTTAGCTTGGAAGAGCAGAAATGTAATGTACCTGTGGAGGAGGATGGGTTTGCATGCAGCTTGCTGTAGGCTCCGTTTTAAGGCACGCAGCAGGCTGACTGGTTAGATACTGGAGGGAACAGTGCTGCAGGGTAACAAAGCTGGTCTTTTCTGCCCTAAGGAACTGAGAGCAGGAGTCTGAGGACTCAACTTAGTGGTCTAAAGCAGTTTAGGACTTCACATTAGCCTTGAAGCAGATCATGTAGCAGTGCTGGTCGACTTAGTTATGCTGTCACAGGACTGCAGATGGTGACCACTATGACCCACCACTATGCTCATTTTAGAAGACACTTCAACTGATCACCTCAATGCTCAAATGTGTATCTGGGTACTGCTGAAGTGGTGTATTTCACTTTAGATCTATATTAAGCCGTATTATTTATTTGATCCCAGAAGCAGCTTAAATGGTTGAAATGCATCAGCACAAGCAAAATGTAAATGAGATTCAGTGTGTGCCAGGTTCTCAGCCAACAAAGAATTTGAAAAGCCCTGAAGAGTCCAGGCTCTCACCTCCTGCCTATGCTGTGAATGGCCTGATTGCCATGAGCCACATCAGGTTCCCAGAAGAGCAGCTGCATCTGCTCATACTTCCTACAATGTATGCAGCATCTCACGCGATGTCCATTAACAGAACTGCCCTCTGCAGTGAGTGACAGGAAAAGGATGTCCCCTCTTCTGAGGATGCAAGCACTGTCACAGCAGAACAGGGAGAGCCAAGGTACAGGCTCTCTATTCTACCACTGCTTCTGACTCTCAAAAGTTTACACGTGTAAAACTTGACAAACTAGAGTTTGTCACTGAAAATTTTATACCTAGGTGTCTATGACTCATATTTTCCCCACTGGCTTCCAGGATGGAGAAGGAAACACTGAGAAGGTGTAATGCTAACAACTTGGCTCTCTGTTCTGCAGTTCTGTTCAAAGGTCTGCCCCTACACGAGGTGCTATTTAGCACTCCCTCTTCTGAAAGCTTGGGCCATTAAAACAGAATGATTTGTCAGTGACAGAAATCCAAGAAATAAGGGCTGTCCTGAGCTCAAGGTTTCAAGTAATGTTAATTTTTGAAGCCATTCAGTAAAGTTACAATTACACCACTTTCTGGGTTCACTTCAGACTTCCAAATAGAAAATACTCAGGCTGCAACCTTAAGAGAAAGCAGCACCACGTGACTGAAATATGCTTTGCTTTGCCTAATTTACATTTTCAACCAAGTATTAAGCCTCATATGCATTGAGAAATGCGAGAGCAACAACCTCCTGTGTCCTGCCTTGACAACAGGAACGCTCTTGAAATATTATCGTAGTCATCTCACCACCCTATGAAGCTATTGAATATATGTGAAAGAGATGTTCTAGTCCAGATACTCAGGACAGAGGAAGTTAACAAGAGGAGGAGAAAAGCAGCACAGAGCCTTCAATACAAGGACAGAGTCAGGAAGCCCATATTCAGGGTAGCAGTAGCACACTTTGGAACGCCTGTCTTAGTGAATATGACAGATGATCCCTTCTTTCTAATCTGCATGCCCCACTGCCATGCACACACTACCAAGGAACACTGAAAAGGACAGTGGTGGAGAAAGAGAAGAAAGCTCTGTTCTCTTAAAAAACTCACATGAGGACAGCTGCTGACTGGAATGCACTGCTTCTTGCGACACTCTGTCTTGCCTTTTACACAAGCACAGATGGTGCAGTTCACAGAGGACCACATCTCTCCATCCTGCAAGAGGCAACATGATACAGTATCAGCTGGGGTGGCAAAAGGAAGCTATTTCAGCAATGTATCATTGCACAAGAAAGGATGACTTTTTCTTTTGGCATTGTGTCATTGTTTAGCCTACATTATTTTGAGGTGTCTGTCCATGACCAGTCAGATTCAAGACAAAGTTCACATTCAGCAGGGTTTTCCTTCTCTTTGGACCTCTAGTTCAGAAATCGTTTTTTCCAAGGGTAACCAAATCACATTTGCATTTTTTCATCAGTGTCCTGCTTATCTGCATTGTTTTCTCTTCACTGTGTGCCTGAGATGTGATCATACCTACCACCAATTTTCATTTAAGCTCACATAATGAGAAAAACCTGATTCACTGGGTTGAGTGACGCCTTTAAGTTGTTGCACGTGAAAGCATTCGATTAAGATGTCAGCATATAGTGAATTTATTCCCAGATGCAGCATCATTTTGGTTTAGGGCAGGAATGGTCGAATAATGAATCCTAATTTAGATTACTTACAGCACTTTCACAGATACTTGATCCGCTAAACATCTGAGAATGCTTAGAAGAGATACAGTGCTGAATTTCTCACATTCAGAGCAGGTAAGACAGCCTGTGTATAGTTCTCAAAGTCATAGGTGCAGAGCAAAATATGCCTCATGATCTTGTCTCCACTTATTTGGAAAGGATTGCTTGTGGAACTGCCTTGGTTCCCTATACACAGCGTTGCATTTGCCAGATGTGGTTCCTAAAACATTCTGTCTCGCCCACTTACAGTCTTGTGCTAGCCCGCTTAGAGCCAAAATGTGCCTGTTTTCTGTTTACAGGGCTGCTGTGAAGGAAGGGTGAAGATAGATCTGACAGGAACAGGCAGTCCAACCAGGCAGCTGTGAACAATTATGTGCCCACCTCGACATGATGTTTTGACCAGAGTGGAAAACAGAATAAATTAGAAATGCCAAGGAGCCTAACTTACTCAGCACAGCATCCCTGGTCAAAGGCTGGCTCTCTCCTGTCTTTTGTTTCCAGGCCATGCTACCATTGCCTGATGCTCCTGATGCAGCATATGTTCTTGTGGGCCACTAATGACTGCTCTCCAAGCATCTGCTGAGGTATCAGAATATATCACAGCTGGTTTTACATGGGCATGCAAAAACACATTCGCTGTGCCCATTCTACTTGTGTTAGACCATTAACCTCAACAGAGCGATGCTGGATTTACCTTTTTGCTCACAAAGCCAGAAATTGGTGGACTGTCTTGTTATTTTTTCTCACTCCATATAATACTTGGTAATATAATAAAATCTTCACAAGAAGCAGGATATTTTAGTTGGGTGCCTAAGAAGAAGGCATGTGTTCCTGAAGCACAATAGCACCAGTGTGAAAGCGCCAATCACATGGTGTATAGTCTCAGCATACAGTAGCTTCACATGTAATTTCCAGAATAAACACTTTAGCTAGGTACGCAAAAGATGGAATAATTGGGAAGTAACTCTGGCTGAGCAAACCAAGTATTCACAAAGATTTAACATCTGATCTGATTCAAGAGTTTCATAATTCACAGATGGCTCATGAGGTGACAGAATCTTCTTCTGACATGTAAAAAAAGCCACATCATTTGGAAAACCTAATAGGATCTCATCAATAGAAGAAGTGCTCTGAAAACACTGAGTGAGAATGCAGTAGGTAACAGTTATGGCTATCCCAATATAAGATGTCAGGGGTACTGTCCTTAGCAGAGACTTGAAATGTAGTAAATCAAGATGAATAACTTTCAGCCAAGACAAACTTTGCAAAGCTCCTATTAGCTCAGCTATGGAAGAGACTCTTCTGCTCAGCAGCTAAAGCCTACACACCACTCGGAGTATCTGCTCCATAAATATCAGGGGGAAAGCAGAGCACCGCTGTTTCTTACAAAAAATGTATTACCTGTCATGAGACAGCAACTTGAATCTCTGCATACAGAGAGGAAGACTTGTCTCACCGAGGAGGAACTAATCTTTAACTGCTGTGTATTAACAGAATTTACATAAACTCAGAAGAAAAATTGCAGATGGAAAGCTCTGCAAAACTCTGCTCTAACAATGGCATCTATTCTTGAGCCACACCTGAAAATTTACCTGGAAGATCTTGTTGCCAAACTTGCACACACTCACTTCCTCAGGAGAGAGATACGAGACACACTCCTTGCAGCAGTGGTCTTTGTTTTTATTGCATTCACCAGGAAGTAAGCACCTCTTCTTACATATCACTGTTGAATCCTAGGTAAAAGGACAAAAGGAAATCATGAAATCATCACACGATGTTTGTGCTCCTGTGTGTCCTTACCGTAACATTTCTGCTCACTCAGTCATGCATCCACCCACACTACAGCCCAAATGCTTTGAATAGGTCAGATTGGAGAAAATAAAAATGATTTACTGGATTAAGGGGCCCTTTGGTGGCCTGTGAAGCTGAAACCCAACTTCTCCTTCTGCTGGCCTGCAAAATCTTACTGATTTGGTGACACTTTCATGCTTTTTACCTTGATGCAGAAGTGCTAGTGGGCACAGTTCATGTTAAAGGAGCTGAAAAAAAAATCACTGTCCTTCAGCAAAGGTATGGTAAATTGCCATTTAGAAACATCTCTTCTCCTCTAATGAAAACTCGAAGTGGATCACATAACCTGAAGCAACTCCATTTTGGAGCATGCAGCATCAGGCAACATGTCTCAGCTGAGGCAATCAGTAGCTTTTTAGACTTTCCTAGCACAACTGCAATGCTCTTCAGATCAGATTCTCAGGGACCGCATAAGATGCCAAAGAACAGTATTAGGGCTTATAAATCCACAGCCCTACAAATTCCTGCCAAGCCAGACGACCAGCGGCATGCAATATCAAAGCACTGAGGACTTACCTTGCATGTACACACTGTGCAGTTGTCATAAGTAAATGAAGACCCATTATCATACACGTTGCTGTGAAAGAGACAGCTTCCAAATGGGAGGTCAAACACTTTCCTCTGTCCTGAATACAAATAAACAGTAATAGAAACAGAATGTGGTTGAAAAGATGCCATATTGTCAACAAAAATAGTAGGGCTTATTGTCACCAGACCAAATTAATGTGCAATGTGTCATTTGCTCTGTGTTTCCATTTTGGTGTGAAAAAAAAAATAAATGTGCTTTTAACAGTTCACTGTTCTTCGAGCACACATTCATCTGTACAAATGCTGCTGTGGGAGGGAATGTAAATATGATTTATGGCATGTTTATATTGGAAAAATCTTTCTTCTCCTTCTCATCATAAAGTGCACAGTGCAGCTAAAGGAATAAAAAGTAAGCCCTGCAAACTCTTAGGGTAGGTACACTTAAACTAGTTTAAACAGTCTTTAATGTAATGCAATAACTTATCAAATAAAGCAGCCTTAACTGGTTTTAGCATATCTACTTCAGGGGTTCACAGCAGCCAAACTAAATCAACTCAGTGACAAAGACACAAAAACCCCAACATAGGTGTTGTCTGCTCTCATTAAGATAGCTTAGCGTACCATGTTCACAAGGGTTGCAAGAAATACAGGCGTTTGCAGCATTTATGAGCAGAATGAGGGCAACACAGGATATTTAATTTCTATAACCCATAAAACATTTGTGTTTCAGGAGACTGAGGCAAGGTTAAGAGCACTATACACGGAAGACGGCATCAACATCAAACCCTTCCTGAAGTCCTGCAATCTTGCAAGCACTTTTACATTCAAGTTGCAACACACTGTGGTCCTCCAAGCTTCTCCTGTTCCTCAGCTTGTTTCCTAGTAGGTTATTTTAAACAAGCAATCGTTATGATACATAAACGTGAGCTCTTTACAAAAACACTGTACTTACCTTCCTTTTTTTTAATACCTTCCCCTGTTTACTTTTGGTGGAAGCCAACTAGTAAGCTCTTTAATAAAGTGGCTGCCAGTCTCCTGGCTTATCATTTCTGAGGTCTGATACCAAATAGGCATCGATTCCGAGATAGGGAATGATGACTGTAAGCGCATACAAGAAGTCACTAAGTATTAGGCCAATACTTTAGCTCTCAAACCACCATGTGCTGGCACTCTGCAATTCCTTCCCTTTTCAATAATTATTGATAAATGTAGGACAGCATAACAGGTTCCTTTTTCCTCTGAGATGTAAGTGAACAAAGGATAAACACATAGCGAAACTGACTGCATTAGCCTTGTTTTTACAAATCTGATGTTAAAATAACTATTAAACAAAAGTTAAGAAATAATTGCTATTTTTCAGTTAGACACAATTTGAACATCTCTCTTACAAATTAGCTACCTTGGGCTAATCTATGCTTGTATAACCAGCCTTCCATTTACTGAACGTGCACCCTTCTGAAAAGGCTTGATTCCTCTTACAGAACTGACATATAATATCAGCTGAGGATGCTCAGCAGCCCTAAAAGGAACTGCTCTACAACCATGCACCACTTACAGGCAAACCCTGACCACAGTCCTGCCTGTAACAACACCTCTACTGCTTTATGTGGGGCCAGGATTGCAATCGAATAACTTATGTCAGCAAGTGAAGAGAAGTCCAGCTCTTTCTCACACCCTCTTCCCATGCCTTGCAAACCACCCAGCTCAATTCTGGGTGGCCAACCCTGTTCAGACGGTTGGTAAAAAACCACTGACAAAGGAGCTACCACTTCTAAAAGATGTGGTGATGAAGATACTGGCTTAATGGTTGGCTTTGCTGGCCCACAACCACTAGTTAAACTAATAATTGAAGTCCCAGTAGAGTCAACTGCATTCTTCTAAGTTATATATGCTGAGTATCAGGAATTCAATTGCAGGGAAATCCTTCACATGATACTTTAAAAGCCTTGCCTCAGCATCCCTGAAAATATTTCTCTTTCCTAACTGCCATATGGTGTGCTACACATCCCTTGGCTCTGCCTCCACTAAAAAACTTCCAGCACTTCCTTGCGAATAGACATTATCTATTACAGACTTTTCTGAGGAAAAAAAAGAACCTGTAGAAAAATCTCCATGAAGCAGTCAAAAATAAAGCTGGGTTTTGAATGCCTGGGTCAAGGAGGGGAAGGTTCAGTTGGGAAAAGCATGGGATGGAGAGGACAAGTGAGTTTACAGAAGGAAAGGAAAAATGTCCTCAGGCAAAATAGAAGTTTGGTGTTTGGACTGCTCTCCTCTCCATTTCATTCCTCTACTGTATTACTCTCTGGTGTTGCAGTTAAATGTTCCAGGCTGGCATTTATCTGTAGCACTTCTCAATTAACAAATAAATAGATAAATAAATAGATAAATTCAGGTTCATTTCAATCAGCCAAAAATGTTAACTATTATAAGAACCTGGAACTCTGTGGCGTGCTGCCTCCAAGACCAGACCTCTTTATATCCCTAACCCACCCTTGGAAATAGACTTTGGATAGGAGTAAAGATACGGTCAAAATGACAACAAGTTTCTGTTACAGAACTGGGAGTTATCAACTCCGAAATTTTTCCAAACCTAGTTATAACCTCACAGACAAAATTAAAGCTAATTTACTTGGTAGGATATAAGTGCTCCTTCTTTATGAAATAGAGGGACACAAACCCGTGGGATCTGTGGGCATGTAAGAGCAAACTGAGGACTCTCAAAAGTCACTGCCTTCCTTGGCATGACTTGGAAGAGCTAACCCTTCATAGGGGCCTCTGACTTCTCCTTTAAAATGTGTTGGAAAGATGCAATTGGAAATATTCATGTCTGAAACTGTGATTCCACCTTAAGAGGCAGACCCCTTGGTCCTTGGCCTCTCTGACAACAGCTTATAAGAATGCAGTTTCAGTCCAGAAGTTTCCTCTGACCTGCATTTCCTCAAAACCAAGAATGCAAATGCACACTTCAATAAAAACATGAGGGAGTGAGGCCTTCTGCTTGTGGCAAACTCCAGCAGAACACTTCCTCCCTCCTCAACCTCCTTTCTACAATGTGTAATGAAGGCAGGAAGCATCTCTGTGTTCCTAAGCGAGCCAACTGATCTACACTCAAATGGTCTTCTGCGGCTGCTTACTTAGAACCACCCATCACAACCCTACACACTGCCCCAAGTACCTGTAGATATAAACTCCTCTGAGCATACTGTCTCCCAGAATTGTGTTGTGAAATACTGGTATGAAAGTTATTACACAGAAACATACCCTATCAATTACAAAATTCCCAGGAAAAACACCACTCACCTAAGCATTTGGGGCAACACTGTCCAGCAGGAATGTGACTGAGGTGCTGGGGACATGAGAGAATGGGGCAGACTTCTCGGATGCACTGTGTCTGGCCACCCTGAAGGAAAACAGGTTCAGTTAGAAGGAAAAATAAAGCAAAATGTCAAGTAGATGTGTACAGACTGGTAACAAGCCTTGCAAAGTCTAAGCCAAAGCACTATTTGCCAACAGAAATCTCTGCTTGCATCAGGCATGCAAGAAACCTGCTGTCTTTCAGTGTTTTCAATATTGCTTGCACAGACCTTGGATTATTCGTGTATTTTTCATTCTGTCAAGCAATGAATGTAGTAGTTGAAGAAACAGTGCCTTTCTCTCTTATTTCTTGGTGTGGATATGAGAAAGCCAGGGAGAATAAAATCATTATCCATGAACCTTTCCGGATGCTCGAAGAAGTTATTGAGCCATTTTTTATATTATTCTTCACCTCCTGTGCCATGCCCTTCTAGGCTTGTCTGGGACAGGGATTAAGTGCTGAAGCAAGATGAGAGCAGGTGTTCTTCCATTATGTCCATGACCTCAGAAACCAAATAAGCCAAAATCACTTAAGAAAGCACATTTTTGTTAGCCTCCAAGCCCAACTATGCAAAGCCAGAAGGTCTGCTTGCTTCAGAGACCCGAAATGCAAGAGGGTATATGGAATAAGCAGCCTGGACTGGATATATCCTGGCACATCAATGAATATCAGAAACAGAGAGAGGCAAAAAGCACAGCACAGGTGAAAGCACAGAATATATGCCTAAAATTAACTCGGTCAAAAGAGATCTTTGTTCTCATTCTGCCCTGTTGCCTGACTACTTCACCATGCTTACAGAATACTGTGTTTAGCTCTGGACTTTCTATCAACATATGCTCTACACTCATGAGAGGTCCAGGTTGATACATGTTAAAAATAAGTATGCTTTTGTCTTAGCAAGGGAAGTAAGTCCTTTTCATCTAACCACCCTGCCTTATTTATCATTCAGAGCTGCAGGCTCATCCCAACAATAAGCTTTGTGTTCCTGGATGCTGTGATGGAATACTTATGAACAGTCTCTTCCCAGCTACATGCTGGATGCCTCTCGGGGCTCCCTGGGGAGAGATGGAAAAAGCTGTTCATTCTGAAGAGCTCTATGCCTGAAATGATGGTATGCATTTCCACTCCTAATGGTCTCAGTGAATCATGTAAAAGCTTTTACATACAGGCAGACCCCATATATACTATTATACAGAAAATAACTTCCTGACTTTACCCCATTCCATAAGTTTTCAGGCACTGAAGTCTACTGGTCCCATGGGGCTACCAAAGCATCCTGAATGCACGTGGATAAGGACTACTCATAATTCTTTCACTGCGGCATGCGAGAACACAGAGTTTATTGTAGACTGAAATGACTGCTCTAAATTAAGGGTCAGACCAGAAACTTGACAAAACAAAATGAATTCTTCACTGGTGCTCCTTATGATGCTCAGGGAATAGCTCTGTGAGAAGAGACACAGGTGCAGAATGAAAGAGAAAATACCAAAGAAGGGCTCTCTGAAGCAGTGCTGTCATTTCTACCCAGGGAGAAAGGCTAAAGGAAGACAAAGTTCAAACTTCGGTGACAATTCAGCACATGGGAAAGTTGGGCATGGAGACCTCGGCCAGTCTGCTGACCGGAGCAGGGATATGTCCGTATAAGACAGAGCAATGGTCCTACACATGGTGAGCACAGGTCCTTTCTTGCAACCCTGCTTATATACCTAATACCTATTCTATGTCTCTCTGGAACTGCTCTGGAGCCTTGCTTCTCTGATGGATTGAATCAAAGCTCAGGTTTAGCATATTACTGAGACATTGCCTTCACAGTTGTTGTATAAATATATTTTAACACACAATGCCATGGATAATATGAAATATTTCTTAATTTCAACCTTTTGGTTATAGCTCCTTTTTATCTATTGTACCAGCCCCTCCTCTGCACAAAACCTAGTCCGGTTTCACCTCCCTCTTTAGCCCTGCTTCCAGGGAGGGTAATGCTGCTTTTTAACACCAAACTATTCTAACTTTCTGCTGTCCCAGATAGGTTCTTTGGCTTGAATAACATGCCAGGTGCAAGTTTAAAACCAGGCTAAAACAGATCAACTTGTACCATTTAAAATAAGAAAAATTCTGCTTGCTCTACAGAGCTTAGAGAGATAACTCATTAGGCACTACAAGGAAACAGTAAAACCTACCAATATTTCTATTTTCTTAAAAGCCTCAGTCATCACAATTCAAAACTCACAAAGCATTCAGAACATCAGCTTTCAGAGCAGTATTAGCTAGTGCTGCCAATGCTTTCAACTGCATGAAACGGAGCCAGATAGATTAAAAGTGCAACAAAAAGTTCAATCAAAAAAAATTAAGGGAAAAATACCTCCAGAGAGCAAAGACTGGCTCTGCATGGCCTACACCAGGGTGGGAACTGCACAGTAAACACCTTGCCTTCTCCACCTCCCAATTACAGATACAGATTTCAGCTCACATCTCCCTGTTAAGCATAACATATCCCAGGCAGCCAGAATATTCCAGGTCTGAAGCAACACCTTCCAGTAAAGCAAAGACTGAAGTGGAAGCCAGCACAGACCAATAAAGTACAAATGACATCTGCTTCCTGTGAGAAATAGTATTCAAGAGTTAGGCAAATAAATCCTTGAGTGATAGTTAACATGAAGCCTTAATCAGGGATGCTGCTGCAGCCCAAGTCCTCTGAAGGGAATAGATTTTGTATGAAATCTACAGTCTACAATGAAAAGATTAATTTTCCACCTTGGAGACAAACAAAACCATTGAAACGCCTGCTGCCACCTCATATCTGCAAAACAAAGAGGCTCTCTGGTGTCGGCTCAGAGGCTGGTGTGCACTGAGGTACTGTCTTGTCTCAGCAGCTTTCTCAAGAGACAGAAGGGAGGGGAAGGTGAAATAGCACTTTCTAATTCTCCCATGAGAGATCCATCTTTGGGAGAGATTCTTTCCTAAAATGAAAGCATGGAGCTAGTCTAGCTACCCATTCATCCAGTTCTGCTAAGTTCCTATCTTGACTGTGATACCTCATTGTTCCATAAGGACACAAGAAACTTGGCAGAGTTGAGAGACAACTATGCTGTGGCTGACTTTGATAGAGCTGCTGGATGAAGGAGAGTATGTTTTTTTTTTTGGGGGCAGGCTACCCCCATGCCTTGTGCACAGTATGTGTGCAGCCTCTGTGCTAGGAAAGATAGAGAGGAAAATGTCTGCAGAAGAAACTGTCCAAAAACTCCCAGAAGGCTGGGAGACCAAGCCAAGAGTCTTGGGCTTCATCTACCATGAGGCAGAGAACAGAGATCAACAACAGCAGAGCTACACTTGGTGTAGGCACGTTTTGAAAGCACTCCTGAAATCTCAGGACAGAGGTTTCCATACTCCCAATTTGCTTGCTACTGATAACGAGCATGCCTAAGCTTAATAATGTCTTATATAAATACTATTTAATGTTAAAGGTTAACTCAGGATTATCAAGAACCGTGTTTTTTTTGAGCGACTCTCATTTTCCATTTCACTTTCAGGCTTTATTTCTGTGCTTTAGTGAAGCTATGAATTATCTAAAAAAGATTCCTCCCTAGTTTTGCCCCGTGTTCACCTTGTGCTTGAAAGACTCTGCTAATCCTCCAACAGAAGTAAAATTTCCATCGATTTCACAGAGTATTTCGTCTAAGTGCTGGCATTAGGATTCAGCTCACAGTGGATTAGAGGCATTTACTTTTAACTTTCATTCTAGAAGTGTGAAAGGTTTCATTTGCTACCAGTGAGGTTATCCTTATGATGAAAAAAAAATATGTAGAAATATCAAAATCACATTTATTTCAACTCCAGGATACATATTCCAGACATTAGAGCAAGGTCAGATGCACACTGTAGCTTCAGCAGGGGTTGCTGTAAGAACTAAGACAGATGTTCAAGATTGTCTCCAAATATGAATAAAGATTTTATGCCACCAGCATGAAAAATAACTTTGAAAGTTCAACAGGGTCACTACTAAGCAAGTCTGCCCCATGCCAGTGACAAGAGAAGCCAAATAAACACACGGTGCAGGTAACCACAGCCACCATGAGATTTTAAAGAGACATTATCACTTTTGTGACAGTAATGGCATAAAGGCAATGAATAGAAATCTGCTGATAAAATGATAGACATTTTGTTTGAGATTCAGATAGTGATGAGTTTTATCACTCTGGACAATAAAAAGATTAAGGCATACGAGGACTCCTACTTCACTACACCGCATTTGCTGATGTGTATAAGGCTTCCTATGTGAATTGGGTAGTGTATGTGCCTGCATGCACTTGACGGTCACCAGGAGCTCTGCCTGACTTATTAACTACTGTGTGATAGCAAGGACTTTCACTACCTCCCAAACGTGTACTAAATACATAAAAAGGGTCAGCTGCATGTACTATGCAAACATTTTCAAAACTCCCCTGGAATCACATGCTTGTAAACCCATACCTTGATATTACAATGAGATGTACAGTCCCTGCTGCGTCATGTAAGTCAACTTCATCCATTAAAGTGAGAGGATAGAGTATTTAAAGTGTGGTTTTAATCTGGAAATAAAATTGGTGTTCTCTCACAAATCAGATGAAAGACACTCTGCACAAGAATGCCAGTGCCGTATGCGGGCGACGCTCTGGCAGTAACTTCGCCCTTACACAGTATTTCAGGGTCCCTGAAATAGCCATGTCATGTACAATGAGAGCTCCCTGGAAGGGTCACAGCAGGGAGAAGGTTTTAGGACATGCACAAATTAGCAAAACAGTTCTCAGCATAAAAGCAAACAGCACATCAATCAGCTCAGCAAACAGACAGACAGACAAGCCAGAGCTTTCTGCATCCCTGCAGCCTCATCTATTGTCCAGACTAGGATTTTAAAAAAGCCTCTTTAGAAAGCACTGGATAAAATTCAGAATAGGAAGATCTTCAGCTTCAGTTCAAAGCAGCAGGTATTTATACTTTCCTGTCTGTACTAAGTTTTTAAACTCTGGACCTAGATCTCAAAGTCTATTTGCTGATAAATCATTGCT